AGACTGTCTTTTAATGTTTTATTTGTGCAACATAAAATGTCATATTTCTGCCAAAGGTATGCAGCTTGTATTTGGGATGTCCTTCTATCTGCAATGTTTCAGGTTAACAGGTTCTACTGGAGATGTCTATATTCCAGCTTGTATAGGTGATATCCATCTATCTTTTATCTTCCAGTCGAGCAGGTTGTATTGATATTGTTCTTCATTAGTACAACTTATCGTTCAGCTTGATGAGATAATGTTCAAATTCAAATCATGTTCACTTGTGCGACTTATATTCATGATGTTCATCTACCTTTGGTGTGTCAGTTGGGAAGCTTGTATTTGGAATGACCATGATGGAAATAATAAACAAGACCACACACATATACAATGTAACAGAATTTTTCATCAACAGAAAGAAAGTTAATGAGTGAAATCACCTCTCAGCACAACATCACTCTTATGGTGCCTTATGGGGTTAAGGCGGCTGATATTCTGCTACCACTAGCTCTCCACCAATGGATCGCCTACGTGGGGCAGTCGCCAGATACTGGCCGTAGGTCATTGATTTTTCTTCGGGAACTCCGTCTTTTCTCTACCACAAAAACCTGGCACGTCCTTAAATGACCATAGCTGTTAATAGGACGTAAAACACAAACAATTTTTTTTCCAGTTAAAGTTAATCGCATTAGACAATACCTACTTATTGACCTGATGGACCAGGAAGGGAAAACTGTAACATCTTAATAAAACCACTTTCATACCTATATTATTTACGTATCAGAGTTCGTGACAGAATCCTTCAGCTTTGACTTTACTTACTTCTCCAATCTGCCAAAACAATCATGACCACATGCTGTCAGTATTGACTGACATGTATCTAATCCATTAACCAGTTTTTTTTTTTTTACCACATTCCAGTGTTAATAACTTGGACCACTACATGTGAGCGTTGCAGGAAAAGTAAAACGAAAAACATTGTTTACACAGAATCAAAAACCAAATTCCTAATATCACTAATAAAAAGTTATCTTGTAGATTTTGAATCAAGATACAATGAGAGAATTAATATCTCTATACATATCGAAATCACGCCTTTTTTTAAAAATAAGTTCACTTTTTTTTCAAAATTTGAAGCTTGTTGCGTGTGGTAACGAACCAAAAATGATTTCCAATGTTATACATTTACTTCCCTTGTGGAAGGGAAAACACAAATCTTTGTTTCTCCGAGATTATTAATTAATCTTCGTCCTCATGAAACTGGTTTAATCTCGGAGAAACAATGCGCATGTTTCCCTACCACCAGATCAATACATGTCTTATCATGGCGAAATAAAAACATAATGCCATTGTAAAATTGATCAGGTTGTTGTGCCCCTGTTGTTGTCCGCACAGAATAAGGGAAATATGACCGGGGGAACTCAAGTGCGTGAGGAAATATAATAATTTATTTTCCTGTCATGTGATCAATATAATCCAAGCATGTATGCTGTTATAAAGATGTATTTTTCTTAGTGCAAGTCGTAGAAGCCATAAATATTAATATGATTCCAACGATGCTGTAAAATGACATACAAGTATACATAAAATATTTTTGGAAAGCAATAAAGTTGAAATGTATTAAAATGTAATATATCTATAAAATTGCCTGTCTTTGTCTCCTGTCTATTTGTTTGTTATTAAACCGATATCTTGGAGTTACAGTGAATTGTAAATAATACAGTCATAATAATTATGAATAAAAAAACCAATTTATATTTTTAATAAACAAACTTTAAAATACTGAAAAAGGCACAAATTGTACAAATGTAAAGAATATATCTCGGTAAGTACGTTACACTCCTCATTTGAAAGGTCACTTGGTTTCTTTCATCAGCAATCCCTGTATATATGTATATCAACATCTCTATTGAGTATGACATGTATGGTATCTGACAGTGTTGAAATGAAGCACGCCTAGTAATGGTAACTTTTAAATTTTTCTTAACAGGTTTTCCCACCAAAACGCCGTTTCAATTACATTTACACTAGCCTTTCAGACATGTGGTCATCCTCGAATCACAAAAATGACAAAAACAACATTTTATACTGATGTCACTGAGATGTAGGGAAGGGCTGGAATGGGGTGTAGACAGCGTGTTCTATAAAAAGACTCGCGCCTGCCGCACGCGCCGCGCCGCTGGTGTGATTCATGCACAAAAAAGTGTTACTATAGTAAACATGATAGTAAACAGAATTAGTTCAGTTATAGTAACATCGGTAAGTCAAGAGGGATATATTACGGGCGGGGATGTCAGAAATTTGTAAACATGATGAAAAACATTCCCAAAGCATCAGATCACCGTTTGAAACTAACATTAGTTTATCAGTATACATCAAACCATCAATACAGTCTGCAATGTCCGATATGTGAGTGATGCTGATATCATACTGATCAACAAAACCTTGTCAAATGATCTGTCATCCCACGCCTTTCTTATTTACGTGTTTAATAATCAAATTATTAGTTTTCAGATTCCTTAGTTTTTCTTTCGTAAAAAGAACCCACGCTTCTTTTAACTCTAACATTCCCAAAATGTGCTTCAGTTTGAGTGTTTCTTCCGGAAAACCCACATTTCACGCGGAAAACATGCATATTACCAGGGAATACCGCATCAATATACAGAATACACCTGTTACAATAAACTTGTTCTCTACCTAGAAATTATAATTTAGATTTTTGTTTTTGTTTTCAGAAAGTGAGAGAATATCTAGATAGTAATCATGCCACTGCGTCCTTGTGTATATTAACCAGCCGTTAATGCACTAATGAACTGCAGTTGTGGACACATCACCCTAAATATAAACGAAAACACAGTATGATGCATTGTTTTCCTTTCGTTTAAATACTGAAGTTTTTGTAACAAATGCTGTAAGGTCAGTAACAATACACATGTCCTATATCTGTAAATTAGGGACATCCATTAACACAGATCTACGTGGAATTTGGCATTGATCGTACTGTTGTATCATAAAATCAGATATACCACTCACAGACAAATAAATACTTAGTGTCGAGGGGAACAGACGAAGACATGAACCATGAAGTCACTGATATAACAAAATGTACCCTTACACACTGAACACGTTGTTCCCCTCGTCACCATACACCTCCTTAACGGAAATATTTCATGGTGGACTTACAACTTACACAACTTAAATACCTTCAGAACATTTTACAAGACATTGAATAATAAAACAAAAATGGCAGCAGGTATGATTACGATGTCACAGTGGTATAAGAGACACCTTTCCAGACAAACATTTTCACCTGTTACGTTTTTGTTGAAACAACTTATATCACGCTTGAATTCTACTGTGATGCTTTTATCCTGGTGTACTGACTCTGTGTTAAATTTGATTTAGCTTGCTATACAAACAGGTATTAAAACATGTCAATTTTGTAAAAATCCTGCCAGAATATACTTGATAAATTGTTTTGAAACACAAAAAATGAAAAGGAATGTAGAATGTGCCTGACTGTAAACGTTGTACTCTGTTTGACGTGATACGTGTAATTTTATTTAACATCAGATTAACAACCTCAGATAATAATCAGGAGCTGATGAAATATAAAATCATGTGGATACAAAAGACAGCTTAAGAACACCGACACATGTGTTCAGATAAGCCCGTCAACACAAAGCGGTATAACAATACAAAAACACATTTGTATTTATAGTTACGACACTGTGTCGTGAATTTGTTTGGGAAATTACAAGTAACACGTTAATGAGCAAACTAGTAAGAAAGATATCCTTATTAGTTTGGTTGGAATTAAAATTATCAAAAATGTTTAACGATGTTTCCGACGTCCTTAACATTACAGCAGAATTAAACGGGACCTAATGCGTTTTGACTTACGTTTCCCCCTTTGTTTCTTTATTTAGATTTCTCTTGAAATACTGCTGACTTTTAATTGGATACCTTACATTTCTCTGTTTATATAAGTATGCAGTGCGACTCTGCAAAAAAGACTCAATTATAATGGAATTATACCAACAAGTGTGTTTGTCTGCTCCACATAATTGGTCAATTATAAGAACAGGCTAGAATAGACACGACGTGGCATGCTTATAAGTAACTGGATATGCCAAAACTAACAAATAATTACACAACAGCACACTGCCAAATGTTTCAAGATGGACGCGGATTCTTGCGGTCGAATCACACAGTCCTATCATGCTTACTATTTGGTATAGGTCTCACTGCTTCTAGATGAATTCTTTCACCAATTGGGAAAAATCACAATACGATATTGTTTCAATTTTTGTACATATTTTAATTTCCCTTGGACAGTGCGATTCCGTTTGTTGTGAGGATGTAGGCCAGGGACGGGCTAGACACCAACCACATGAAGGAAAACATTGTTGTTTATGTGGGTCACCGCTTCACGATCATTTCACGACTCAAGTGTAATCATTTCCGATCTGTCCCGTTATAACGTACTATTTTAATCGACATAGTAACCCATTATCTTCTCCAACACCCTTTATGACGTAAAGCAAATATTATGTATGTAAATCAACAGTTCACGCGAACATACTGACCTGTATCACTCCTAATATGGTGTGCAGTGTACCACGCAAAACATAACATGGCGTAGGTTTCCATGCAGTTCCTAAACAAACAGGCGGGGCTGAACTTTGACATTACCTTGTTTGGCAACCCACTTCCGGAATGCGTGAATAATCTTTTGATCGCAATTTTTGAATGTTTGTTGTATTTATAGATATGTACTATTTACCATCTATTCATATCCCATCCCGTATTACTCATTGGAAGCTCATTGTCAGTCTATCAGGTATATAAGTATCTCCGAATGTAACTTCTTCACATCATCTCTAGCGTCGCAACCAGCAGCACATCTGACTCACTACATAGCACTAGACGTGTTGACACGCTATCATCGGACATTCTTAGATATATTTATATTCTTGCCAACTCACCGATAACATATCAACAAAATGTTTCTTGCTTCATTTATTTTATCACTGGTAAGTTATAAATATTTATAAATAAATAATTTCTTTCGTAATTTTAAGACGAAATGTTTTAATGGTACTTGGCCTTTGTACGTGACATGCATGCAGGGAACGGTTGAAAGATAAACGGAGTTTAAGTTACTTTTAGCCTTAGAACTCGTGCAGATCTTTATATAATGTTTCGTGTAAATAATTCATATATTTTGATGATCGTTTGTTTATACATACACTTGTATTCCCGATGACATGTTCTATTCATGGACCTGTTATGTTTTATAGGTTTCTGTGGCTGTCGCTGCACCAGTGTTTACAGAGGAACCGACTGACGTTGTAAAATGTAAGCTTAATCTACAAACTTAATTCACCTATTACTTACGATTATCAAGTAAATGAAAACAGATGCCTTGTCAATTGACGTTCTATTTTTCTACCCCTCCTTTTTGTTTACCTTAAGTCGTTTTTGTAATATCAACAGAATGTCTAACTTTAGCTAAATAGCATACTTCTATCACTAGTATTAAATGTTGACAATCCAATTGTATCTGTCAATTGTATTTCAGTTTGTCACGGGAAGCCTGCCGACATTTTCTTCCTGCTGGACAGTTCCTCGAGTATATGGATAGTAAACTACCGTAAACAGCTCCAGTTCCTACAAGACATCGTCGCCACCTTTCCCATCTCCCGGACGGGCACCAGGATCGGAGTCGGTATCTTTTCGCACCTGTACAAGACGGAAATTTCCTTCAATGATTTTGATAACGTGGAAGATCTCCAGAATAGAATAAAGAAGATTCCTCACATCATGGGAACTACTCACACTGGGCGAGCTCTAGGGCATGTTCGCAAAGAGTTTGCAAGGGAGGCGAGGCCGGGCGTAGCACACATTGCTGTAGTCTTAACCGACGGGGTTTCAAGGAACAAGCGCTCGACAATAAAGCAGGCACAGCTCTTGAAGGACCAGGGGGTTAACGTGTTTGCCATAGGGATCGGTAAGGGGCCCAACATGAATGAACTGGAAGCCATCGGCAGTGAACCTAGCAATGAGTTCGTCTACAAGATCGCTGGTTTCAACGTCCTGAACTTCATCAAGGACAAACTGGCCTTGAAAGTCTGCAGAGGTGAGGAATTATTTATTTAAATCCTATTGATTTATACTGCCATATACATTTTAATGTGTCTGCTAAAATATTATTTTTAAAATCCATGTGTGATCAGCGTAACTACATTTGAGGCTACTAAGAAATAATATGCTAGCATCAAAGAAACCAATTCTAACTGTCAGTAAAATTATTTACTAGAGATTTGATCTTTTATTGTTTTCTAAGCCTTATCATAATAAACAATCACTGGAAATACAAAATAAGGAGAAAGCTATGTAAATAATCAAACGCCCGTTATCATGAACCATCTTTACTATAATTTGTGTTTTTTTTGTAGTTCCCAAATATCAAGCGTATTGTAGCGCGGAAATGGAAACCGATGTGATGTTCGCCTTTGACTCTGCCTCCATGGGAACAAAGAACGTGCGACATGCGCAGAACTTCATTAGTGACGTTGTCGGGAAATTCGGAAACATGGCTGAAGGAATGATCAGGGCAGGAATGTTGTCTGGATTTTGTGAAAGCAATCGAATTAATCTTAACCAGTATGACAATAAGGAGACGATTTCCAGCGCTGTCCGAAACACCGAGGTCAGAGGTCTAGACTACATCGTAGAGGAACTCCATCGCCATAGCTACAACGTCTCCAGAGGAGGACGGGAAAACTCGAGGAAAATGTCTGTTATTTTTGTGGACGAAACTGTCGAGAAATTTGACCAGATTATTGTTCAGTCGGAGATTGCAAAAGCCAAAGGTATCAAGGTGTATGTTGTTGGTGTGGGTGACGTGGACGAGGCAATCCTGAGTACTATCTGTTCCAGTCCCCCTGAGAACCACATGGTGCGTGCATCGTCCTACGACGCTCTGGATTCAATAGCAGAGGAATACTCCGAACTGTTTTGTCAAGGTAAGCTTAAAGATTTGTGTCTTTCTTTGTCCACAAGGACCTCCTTTTTAAAATGAAGCATGTATGTCAAGAACTAAGAATTGTCTTAAACAACTCTTCTTTTTATAAAATGATAACATATTTTAGGAAAAAAATCTTAAAATCTGATTTTTGTCTCTGCGTGTTTCTATTAACTTAACTATTTGTCATGTATTGAGAGTTGTTAACATCAAATAGCACTGCAAATAACCATTTGATGGTTGTGTATTTTCAGAAATGTCCGTTTTACCTGACTATGAATAGACCGAGGAAAACGAACGCCAAGGAGAGTAAGAAACTCATCTAATCGAACTGACCTCAGTCATAAGGACTTCACCACTGGACGTTACGGTACAATGAAAATTTTACATCAGCTATTTCTATTCCATCACTGAGCTTGGGAAAACAGTGCTGTGTACTGCACTATTAGGAACATCAGTGTTTTATTTGTGCAAGGAAATCTGCGCCATACTTTGTTAGACGACGGATGATTATCTATCCTGATATAAAACCAACACTCACTTTAATTTAGTCAGTGAACATCAACCATCGTGCTATCTTATATGAATTTTATAAAAATTCTGAAATGATTTATATTGAAGTATAAAGTATTTACACTGATACAGCGTATCAGCCATATAACGGACTGGAGACGGACACTAGACAAAAATACCTGAAAGGTATGATCATTGAATGAATGTCGTATTAATCATTCATAATGTAAAAAAAAACAGATATTTGAAACACAATGCCTATCTGATATATCATTTGTCAGGCATTTAATGCGGAGACGTATAATTTATTTCCACAATTTTATTTTACAACCAATGCAACAGATATTATTTTATTGTTGAAAAATTATACTTTTTTGTACATTAACTTGTTAAAATATACACTTGTTATTTGTTGATTATGTTATTGAATAAAACAGTGAAAAGAAACTTATTCTGTTTGTTATATATTATTTTGTAATGATAAGAAATTTACTGAATGTGCCAAGGATAAGACGTTAAGATGAAACCTTCAAACTCATCTAATCGAACTGACCTCAGTCATAAGCTCTTCACCACTGGACGTCACTTTACTCATTAAGGACGACTAGATATTTCAACACTCCAATACGTAGAACAGTAAGTTATTATAGTAGCTATTTTCCAAGTACATTTAGGGAATTCAACTCATTCGCTCTTAATTTTGATTGATCTAATGTAAACTCTCTATCACAATTTAAAGCTCTACTCTTAAAAAATAATGAAACTGTCTCGGCTACAACAAAAACGTTTGCAAATGATGGCAGTCGAAATAAAAATATAATTATGTGTCAACTTAGGAATGAAGCCAGCAATTTGAACTCTGACCTTTTTCTTGACCATTTAAAAGATTCTCCAATATGCACATGCATCCTTGGTGAGGAAACTGCGGATCATTATATGTTTATCTGTCCTCTATTCAACCATTCTCGATTGATACTTAGAAATCAGCTGATTAACCAAAATATAACCCATGACCATTTTAATATAAGCACATTACTTCATGGATGTCATGAATGTGATGAAGAAAACAATGCATTTGTACTTCAATGTATGTCAGAGTACATTATCAACACTTAAAGCTTTGTTTAATCATAGCTATACCTTGTACGGTGGGGACATGGTTTATATTGTTTATATGTTTGTTTGATGATTTCAATGACTGTACATATAACATACCGAAGTTGTAAGGAGAAGGCGTATATAGACTTTGCCTGATGCCCTATCCCTTTGCATATTTTTTGCAATAAAATTTGTTGTAATATAAACTCAGGGGTAAACTTTATAGATTCTGCATGAATAAATTGATGGTGAAATTGCCTATCAATGTCAAGTGTTCACAGACTACTGTCCGGTGTGCTAGGCAGTACCAGGCACGGAGTTTCTAATTCTTGTCCAGCATACTACGGAGGTAGTCTCTAAATCCTCCTCTACAGTAATCGATTACGGAGAAAGGCAGTTTTCAAATTATTGTCTAAATAATGGACTACGGAGAAAAGAGTTTCTAAATTAAAGCGGAAATAATTGACTACGGAGGGGTTCTCTTCTCTTAATTCCTGTCTTTAACAGTTGCCTAACGAGCGGAATCTCAAATTCTAATATAGAATACTTGACTACGGAGAAGGGAGGCTCCAAATTCCCGTCTATAATACTCTATTACGAAGAATGAAGTATGTAAATTCTTGTCTAATATATATTTTACTATGGAGAAAGCAGTCTCTTAAGATCTTGTCAAAATAATGGCGTACGAAAAAGGGGTATCTGAATCCTTGTTCTGCATGCTTGGCTTTGAAGAAGAGAGTATTTACAACTGTAGTGACCAATTTCAGTGCTCTGACAGTTTTATACAGACCATCAATCCTATACATACGTGATATCTAGACATCGTGCTATTGTTAGTGATAACCTGTTGAGTACATTAATTGTGGTATATTATTAATTTTAAACTTAATCAATAAATAATTAATCTTACCAAAGCCCTGGTTGAAATGTGAGCCAGAACATAGTCTCACGTGAGCCAGTACCTAGAATATATTATGTTCTCGCATTGTTTGGGTCAGGTTAGTGCAGAATTTCCAGAGGCCGAAGACAAGACCTGGAAAAAACCCTCTTTATTATTATTTGATGATCTATAATGTTCCTTTACCATCTAATACTTGATTAGTAGGATATATATAACCTGCTGCTCGAAGTTTTTACAAGTAAGAGAGTACTATGTGTTACATATTTTCTTTGATGAAGTGAAAGAATCGCTTACCCCTTCTAAGGCGTGGTCAATGTGTGCTCTTTCGCACGTTACATTTAGTGGTAGCACTGTAACCATGGGGACCTTGTCAGGACAGTTAACCGTGGACAGAAAGATTCATCGGTACACATGGTGGAGCTACAGGATTCCCAAGCCGAATTTCTGGAGGACCATTCTCGGGCGGCGGAAGAGTGTAGTAGCCAATGCTTACATGATTGAGGAAAAACATACTTACATGTACTGACACGCTAGTTTTCCTAGCATTGTTTAAAAACAACAAGAGAATACCAAAGTGTTAACAAAATCATAATTACAACTCAAAATCGATAAAAGTAAAGCAAAATATGAAGAAGTATTGAACAAGTATTATGATAATAAGACCAGGTGTTCCGGAGGGATAAGCG